ACGAAGAAGGAAACAAATTGCCAGGTGTTGAATACAAACCGACAAGCAATTTTTCTTGCCCAAATCTTCCACTACAATTTTACGAATAGTCTCTGTATTACCACCAAATTCATCTACCATCATCTTCACGGTCGAACAACGATATTCTTGTATCCATTCACGGAAAAGTTGCCAGATCATAGACAAAGGTTGCCTCTTTGGGTTCCATGCTTTGCTTCATAGATGGCATTTTTATCTTGGCCATAATAAAATCAGTCTCATTACTTAACTGTCGGACCTTGTATGTTTCTCTTTTTGAACACATTATGTTTATATGTCGACGATTGTGGCTTAGGCCTTTCTAACGAACGCTCTTTGTAATTCCGAAATAAAAGGTTCGTTTCTAACTGCAGAGATTTAGCAACAGACCGTTTTGTGTTGATTTCGATAATGGTGTGGAACGCTGGCCCTTGGAAGGGCAACGGCAAAATACCAATCACTAAACTAGGTACAACCAAACACCCAAAAAAATACGTGCTTCATTATAAATACTAGGCGAGGAGAAAAGTGGGTCAAAGTATGATCAAGTTTAGTAAAGGTCATGGCCAAGATAATGGTCAAAGTGTTCTTCCAAGCAACAGTAAGACTTGTAGGTAGGGTTCTAACCACACAGGGCCGGGATTACAGTGTGACTGAAAGCCAGTGCTGCAGAATATGAGGTTTGAGTTTTGGACAACAGATCAACATCATGGCACACGGTTACTAACCCATAAGTGTTCCGTTCTTCTTCTAACTCTATGCTGCAGAATCTGAAGCTCAGTAACTGATTCGTGACAATTCTCGCCAAGGTATAAATGAATACATATAGTTCTGTGTTGAGAGCCAGATTAAACGCATAGGGGCTCACAGCAAAAGCAAATGGACGTGGCTTAGTGCACAAAAGCCTGGCATATGATATAACATATAGTCGGAGATTTGTGATGCCAGTGTGTTGGAAAACGAACTGGTAGACAGACTGTCTGGTTCTGCACCATGTAGTGGTGAACTGATGGCCTTCAACTTTTCTCAGGTGGCGATCCCTTGAGTATATAGTAAGACACCCCCCCCCCCTTTTTCCCAGAAAAAAACAAAATGTGATTAAAAAGAAAGAAAAAAGCCAAGCACTGTTGACAATAACTTGGGGAAACACAGATACATAAAACAAATTGTCAAATAGCAAAAAAAGCAATGTCAAATAACAAGCGAAACAATCCATAAATAATGGTAATTTAGTGTCCAGACATCAGTAGGATGGTTGATACTGTTTTGTCTTGACGATTTCGGCTATTTTTGGTCTGATGTTGATCAAGGAACAACGAAATCACTCTCCACCTCAAGCTTGTAACGCTGTTTTGTTTTCATGACTGTTGAAAATCCGGATGATTATTATTAAAAGCACAATTGCACTCAATTTCAAAATACTTGACGCCCTGAATCTTATCTCCTTGTGGGATGCAATTTTTCGTTATTTGAAGCACTACTCTGGCTCTTGCCAGGGGCCGCAATATAGCCCGGCCAAAAATATGGTCTAATGGCTAAACGCGGTTTCTGGGACCTCTCCACGGGCGATTCTCATCAACATGGTGGCACTTTGGGTCATCAGGTGTTTATCGCTTGTTTTATGTCCTGGTGGAGTAAAAGTAGATGGATAGATAGATAGATTCCTTACGCCCTTTATATATAATCAGTTATATCCTTGTAGGATGTAATTGTTCGTTATTTTAAAGCCCCACCCTGGCTCTTGCCAGGGGCCGCACTACAGACCCGCCATAATGTGGTCAAATGGTTGAACGAGGTTTCTGGTACCTATCCACGGGTGATCCTCATCCACATGGTGGCACTTTGTGTCATCGGGTGTTTATCGCTTGTGTGATGTCCTGGTGGGGTAAAATATACTACTACTACTACTACTACTGCTACTGCTACTACTACTACTACTACTACTACTACTACTACTACTACTACTACTACTACTACTACTACTACTACTACTACTACTACTTACTCCCAATCCATTCCTGGGGGGGGGGGAGGGGGAGGGTGTGTGCTCCCCAGGTTGGAGACCACTGAGCTAGATGTTGTGAGGGTCCGTCTGGAGCGAGTGAACAGTTGGAGGCACACACACACACAGGTCACCATGGCCTGAAGAGGATCGTGCAGCAGAAAGTGACCTGGGGATCTGGCCAACGCTCAACTCTAAGGGGAAAAATTGAGACGGATGTACAATGTTGAATTTAAAATCGACGTCATAGTACTGGGGACACTCCGATAGGTGCTGTGTTCCCATCTTCAGCAGCAAGCCAGGAGTTTCAGTTCCGATGGCACCAGTAACCGTTTGATTGTATATCCAGGACCATCGATAGTACTACCGATGATCTTGGTATATCCATCTCATCCTGCCCCTGAGTGTTGAACATCGGCCAGATCCCCTGGTAACTCCTCGCAGAGCCATTTTCTTCAGAACGTAATGATTTATCTGCGCCTCCGCACTGTTCACTCGCTCCCAAAGAGCCCTCACAATATCTAACTTGTCATAAATCAGTTCACGACTAAGTGGTGCAGAGCCGGCCAGTCTTCTGCCTGATCATTTACCAACACCCAGGCATTGCCTAGAGAAAATATCCAAAGAATGCTAATTACCCGGGACCTCTGAAGTGATGGTTGCCACTCTGCACGAACCATGAACGAATATCTTCTATGGACGGATGTACAATCAGACTGTTACTAGTACCATCGAAATATAAACCATCGGGGAAGGGGGGGGGGGGGGTGGTGCTGGTACTCACCACAAAGTGTATAATATAGAAGCGCTGAAAGCAACATGATGCCTAAAATGAGAGTTCCCTGGGTAGTGTGGTAAACTAAGCTTTTTTTTTTTCTCTCTCTCTCTTTTAGTATTATAAGTTCTGGTGCGAGTTCCGAGAGTAGCTGGGAGGGAAAAGGCGGGGGGCGGGGGGGAAATTGAGAGACAGAACCACCACCCCTAACAAGCATGACGTAGAGATTGACTAATTCGGGGTATTACCTTTGAAGTCAGAGTGCATCTGCCTGAGAGGGAAGGAGCCAACACGCTGCATATAAATAAGCCGCATCTGTAAACAGGTGTGCGCGCAGAACTCAAGTGAACAGAATACAGTACACAAGTTGACAAACAATCATATTTTTTGTTTTAGCCGGAGTTTACTTCCTGTGACGCTCATCATCATCAGAAGAAGAAGATCTTTATCACAAACCAGAAGAGAGTGAACTAAAATTGAAATAAATAATTTCACGAGGAACAAGCGACGTACTTCATCGATTCGCCATGTAAGCATATATTATAAATCAATGAACCGAGACAGCAACATTGACTAAACCTACGGTAGAATAGGTAAGTCATCACATTTGTGCAAAATATGATTTAAAAATCAGTAGTCTGCTTTGACAATAATACTTCAAACTTTCTAGGGAAGTAGGCGAATAAAAATCGACGTAACGTTACTTTATATTTTAAAATCGCCGAGAAAAACTTGGAATCTCCTTCTCCTTCTTCTTCAGTCTATATTGACTATAGACTATATCCTATATCCTTCCAGTTGAATGAAGATCTTCAACCATTTCATAGCAAGCTACGTGTAAACTTGTCCTATATTGGTTGGGTGGTACAGCTAAGGCTTTCTTTAGAAAGAGTAGTCATCGTCACATGAACCTTGCCTTTTATGGTTTACACAGTATATTCTGCTTCTGCTATTCTTTGATTCCTCTATTATATACCCTGGTAACAGTTTAACTCTTTTAGCTTCAAGTAGTGTTTAAATTCAGCAGTGTGTGCTTTAGGGTTTGTATCTTATAACAACAATTTGTTAGTCTTAGAGAACTGCAAAATAAAACTTTAAGACATAATTTATTATAGTGGTAATTGTAACATAAGGGGTTGATATAACTGGAGAACCGAATAGGAAAAAATATAGAAAAGTATACAAAGTAATTTCTTGAGCAACCAAAAAGAGCAACCCAAATGTTTTTTAAAGAAGCGAGGGCTCGAATACAGCTGATCACAAACTCCAGAAAGAGACAGTCATAATTTTTTGGTCATGTTATGATAAGAAGCGTCTGGGGCTTAGGCGTTGCAAATGCGTTTCGTAATGTCGGGGTGCTGGATTCGATCCCAGCTGCGGACAATTTGTCTTGCATTGGTTTACACAACCGTACCGAAAGCTGACCATTCAGTGAGCAATAGCAAACTGCTGAACGTAAAATTTTCATGGAAAAACCACGACAGCCAGCAAATGCTGGGGTTGGTTCTGCAGCATCCTGTAAAGGATACGCAACTAACTTTTATGAGAAGAAGGAAACTGGAACATGTCACCACTGGAAAGATTTGTGGAAAGAGAGAGAGAGAAAGATAATGCGAGAAGATTCTTGACAGCCTTTTGGGATGGCATGGAGGGGTGTCAGCACGTGAATTGTTACACGCAGATTGTGGAGAGGCATGATTACTCACGTCAGCCGGCAAGGCACTTGACAAAATCAGGACGGCATGTGAGCCTCTAACCACTACACTGTTGCAGCTGCCCTTGTCCAGAGTGCTTTGGGATTAGCTCTGTATACTGATCATTAACCAAAATTCCCTATTTGTGTTCCAGGGCTCCGTTGTGGGGAAAACAAGAATAGACCCACCGCCTCCCCAACAAGTATGTCGTAGTAGTCGACTAATTTAGGAATTTCCTTCGAAGTTGGAGTGCATCTGCCTGAGAGGCAAAATATCACAGGTCTGCATACAGATAAGCCAGATCTGTGAAACGAATGTGCACGCAACACACAAGTTCTAGAGCAAGGCTAGTCCAGAGGTGGATGAACACCCAGAACTTTCTGCCGGAGTTCACAGCCGGTGAACGCAAAGAAGAAGAAGAAGATTAACCAAAATTATTTATAATTCATATACAATCTTTTTGTTCTCATAAATGTCATTAAGCTTTATTAATTTCTTGTTACTCCTACAGATGGGCTTATTATACAGACAGTTTCTTCGATGTAGAATGATTTTATTATCATATTTGTCACACCATCCAAGGTTAGTTTGTATTATTCTGGGGCTGTTTTTGCTGCTGCTGTCCTTGGCTCATGAAAGACCTAGACAAATACTGTCATATGGCAACAGATTTCAAGATAGTTCTACTTTCATCCGAGAACAAATTCAGCAGTGGAGTAATAAGGCTGAGAGAACTAAACCCAAATCTGTCCGAGAATGTAAGCTGTTTTCTCTACAGCCAAAAACTGAGCAGTTGTTGGCGTTCCATCGACCCAGCTGTCGAAGGATACCACCATTGCCAGGCTCGTGTGATCTGGCAAATGAGATTTTCTTTTCAGAGCCCCCAGCGACATGTTCTCATCAGCAGTCATTTAATTTCTGTGAACTGAAGGTAAGCTAGAAGTTAATTTTGTGAATAATATTTTGCATTAATTTAACTTCTTATTTTGCGCTAGGTCTCCACCCAACACATGTCAAGTCATCCTATCCTTTGTCATTGTGTGCAGGTCATCCAAAGCCCTCCTCGTGTATATCACCCGACTGCCTAATTCTCTCTCTTCACACACACACACGCATGCATGCATGCACGCATGTACACACACACACACACACACACACAAACTAATTATATTTACCAAGAAAATGTAGAGGGGAAGAAGAGTAAGATGAGGGAAGTCGTGGTTAGAAAGTGGAAGTGTAGGGATATTTTTTTAAAGAGAAAAATAAGAAAGATAGAAAGAAAATGTGAAGGAAAATAAGAAAAGAGAGAGATGGAAGAGAAGAGAAAAGGTTAAATACAAAAGACACAAATCTAAGGACATAGAGGCAGAATATTTTGAAACTGAAATAAATTTGGTGATTTAACATATATTTTTATTTTTCAGAAATCAGTCAATGGGAAATGGGAGGCACAGTGCAATGAGACTCAAAGTGTAGCTTGTATATCTCCACTGTCAGTTGGTAAAATTGACCGACAGACAGGAGCTCTGAAATGGGAAGAAACTGGAACATCAAGGAAAACCGCAGAAATGATTACATCTTATATTCATCATTCCAGAAGTGCACTCAGGCATTATGGTTTTTGTTTTATTAGATGCATGATAAAACAATTCTTGTTGGAAAATGGTCCTAAGGACTTTGATGACCCAGAGAGAAATGTGTATGATGATGATCAAAGAAATGTAGACAGCGATGATAAAAGAAATGTGCATAACGATGAGAGAAATGTTTTTGCTGAGCAGCTTCTGATTTTGCCGCCACGGATAGAGCCCTTTGATTCAGATTCGGTAGCATCTCAGAAAAATAATTTTAGCATTAATATCATGTTAATTGATTCTGTCTCACGTCAGCATTTTTTTCGGTCATTACCAAAAACTGTTTCAGTTCTTAAAGAGGTCACATCATTGCTAGATTCCGAAACTACTGTCTTAGATTTTGAATTGGTACAAGCTGTCAGATCACGAACATTTGAAAGTTTACAGGTGATATTCTCAGGTGAAATTGACCCTTCAGAGAAACCATTTGGCACTCAAGATACGCCTCCACAACCACTAAAACTTTCTTACCTGTACGGGAAGTTTAAGAAAAAGGGTTATCATACATTGTGGATTGAAGATTTATGTTATTTATGGGAATGGGGAATATCTAAAGATCTTCATTTTCTCAACAAGAGCAGCAGTGACGAGGATACCTGGAAAAGATTGTGGAAGATCCTGGATAAAAATAACATTGATAGTGTGGAAGTCACTTTAGCCATGTGTGAAGTTCTCAAAGCAAATCATGTACCAGACCACTTTCATGGTCCAGATGCAGTGTGCTTCAACGGAAGACACCAACATGAGTATCTATTGGAGTATCTGCAGCTGTACCAGCAGACTTTAGAGTCCCAAAAGCTGCCTTATTTTATGTTTTCACAGACAAATGTTGGTCATGAAGGAAGGGGACGAAGAGTCCAGACATTGGACACGTCTCTCGCAAATTACATAAAATTCACAGCCTCACTACAGGACACGCTGACAATAATCTTCTCTGATCATGGGAACTCTTATGGGAGCTTCATGAGTGCAACACAGGAAGCTCGTATTGAACTATTTCATCCCTTCATGTTGTTTGTTATACCAAATAAAGTCGCTAAAATACTCGGGGAAAACGCTATGCTTTCTCTAAGTGTAAACACAGATCGTTTAGTTAGCTTTTTAGACCTTCATTATACTATCAATCATATAGTTGATCCTGAGAGTTTAGAAAAGACTGCGAAAAGACAATTTCCAGTATCCAGAAAAGGTCTGTTAGAACCTGTAGATGTCAACCGTACCTGCAGTGATATCCCACGTATCATGCCCAATCTCTGCATCTGTCAAAATTATGATACATCAGTCGCCAACGAATCTGACTTTAACCTGTTTGCATATTTTGCTATTGGCCAATTAAATGATGAAATACAACGACAGCTTTTGTCCTTGCATATAAAGAATGCAGAAATAAATTCAGGCAACACATTGGTGGCTTTCAAGAATTGTGAAAGACTGATTCTTCAGGGAGTTCACAACGTGAGGAGGAGCTTTGATCAGGTGAGTAAGCATCCTCGTAATTAGGTTAGTTAGCTCTTCTTCTTGTTCTTCTCAACATTCTTCTTCTTCTTCTTCTTCTTCTCTTCCACCTTGTACGTCATCGAAGTGTTGGGGGGAGATGTAATGTTCATTGATGAGCTCTGTCAAGAGCACTATTAAGACTGATATTCATTTCTGAAAGGCTGTTCTTAATGCCATCACTCCATATTTTCCGAGGTCTTCCACTGGCTATATATCCATTGTAACATTTTAGTGTGGCTCGCTGTGGCTGAGAGTACCAGGGCCTTCTTGTTAGGTGTCCAAACCACTTCATTTGTTGTTCTTTGATGACCTGTAAGACTGGCTTTATTCCTAGCATTCGTCTGATTTCATGATTTCGTATTGTCTTTCCTTGAAATTCCTGCAGCTCTTCTAGGGCATTTCATCTCTGTTGTCACAATTTTACGTGCTGTTCTAAACTCTTGTGGCAAGCCCTGGCTGTTGATCCACTTCTGCACTTTGGTCTTGTTCCAGGATTTGACTGAGTGTTGTATGCACATCCATTTGACAGATCTAGCTTAGCCCGGCTCTCTAGCGAAGTTGGTTAAACCTGACTTTCGCGGCGGCCGGGTGACGAACTCCTTGTGGTCCGGGTTCACTCCCGGGGGTAGGCAGAAAAGCCACATTTCTCCCAGATTTACGGTACCTATAATGGAATCAAGGCCGAAGGGTTGCGATATCCATAGTACCGAGCCAAAGGGTTTACAGCTCATGGTTTCTGGATACGTTAAAAAAAAACAAAAAAAAACAGATCTAGCTTGTTTGTGTGGAGACTTTGGTTCTGTGTGTCTCAGGTACCTGCACTCTGACTTCATAGAAATGTTGATCATACCTACATTAGCCTGGCATCTAATCACAACACTCACTTTTCACCTGTATCTGTCCACTCTAGTGGTAGTAATTTTAAACTTTTATCCTGTTCAACTCATCTGGGTTATACGCTTGTGTAATTGGGATATTTAGCTTTTTTTTCTTTCTATTTTGACATCACTGTAATATTTATATTGTGTAATCTTGTTATAACTGTGATGTTCATATTGTGTAATCTATCTTTGGGAATACTTACAGCAATGTTAGCTACCATTTTTCTGTTATATCAGCTCTTTTCAGCTCTATATAAGTCAGTATCCAGATGTTTCTTTTCCAGTTCACCATTTAAAGTCTACAGTTGATATGTTTAGTCATACAACATTACAAACATGTTACAGTGCAGATTGCGATTATTTTCTGTTATTTTACCACATCACGCCGGCTTTGAGATTTGGTAGGGAAATCCCTAGACCGTCCCACAGAATAAGTGAGAATATGATTAGGCTTAGTAGTAGTCCCTATTTATTTAACACTAGCCCTAACCCTAACCCTTCATACTATATGACGATCTGTGGATTTGCCTACCAAATCTTAAAGCCAGTGTAATGTGGTGAAATAACAGAAAAGAACCCAGACTGCTTTAGGCGATCTTAGATGTTGCAAATTTCTGTTGTGAAGAACAGTTTGTTTATCTCCAGGCAATTTTTCTTGCTTGAATTTTTATCTGGATAAAAGGATTTTTGATAAGAAATCAAGCTAGCCATAAAAAAGCCGTGAGCTGCAAGGGTTATAACTGAGAAATATTAAATAAAACTGTGTTGGATGTTTGGTCCCCTGTTACCTTTTATGACATGCTTATTACTGAGGCAGTCCCCTGTGTGGGTTCCGGGGCCCCATTGTGGGGAAAACAAGAATAGACCCACTGCCTCCCCAAAAGCATGTTGTAAGAGTCAACTAATTGGGGAGCTTCCTTTGAAGACGGAGTGCGTCTGCCGGAGAGGCAAGGAACCAACAGTCTGTATTCAAGAGAATGAGATCTGTAAAACTGATGCACACGCAACACTCAGGTTCTGGAGCAGGACTGCAGTTCAGTAGTAGACGAGCAACCAGAACCTTCCACCAGAGTTTACAGCTGGTGAACGCGAAGAAGAAGAAGACTGAGGCAGTGGATCTGTCGTTATTCCCCCCTAAATAGGACACTGCAACCCACACAAGGAGCTCTTGTTATTAAACTATGTGACATTAGTGGCTAGTTGTGGGGTTAGAGCGCTGGGCTGTCATGCTGGTAAGGAAGATATTTCTTTCGTGAACAAAAATAAAAACATCTTTCCCTGCACAGTTTGTGGCAACAGCACCAGCTTATCGGCCTTAAATCCTAACTGTCCTGCACCACTAAAATGGGAAATACAGTTTTACCTCGCTTAACGAGCATAATTCGTTTCAGAATCATACTGGTTAAGCGAAACACTCGTTATGCGAAACAATTTTTCGTATATAAAAAAATGTAAAATATGATAATGTGTTCCAAGTCGAAGAAATACTCACACAATGCTATGTAAAACGTTTATTCAAAGAAAATTATATCCATATTGTTAAGGAGCGTGAATCATCTTCATCTTTTCTTCAAACACGGAACGAGCCAACCTGGAATGCGAATTCGATTTGCAGAAGAAGAAAAAAAAGTTGAAATAATTATGATACAAAGCTAATTATTTTTTGTGTGTGTGCTAGAAAGAAGTCCAGAGACATTTGTTTTTTGCCGAAGCTTCAAAATTAGGCGAAAATGCGACACAGCATTATCATTAAATAAATTGTGCAACTCGCATAGCCACTTCCTTATTAGGTGATGCTTCTCAATGTAAGATGCAACCGTTTGCCATGCTTTCAGCATTTCTCTTATTTCGCCAGAAGATTGTTGCTTTTCTGTTACCTCCTCCCCCTCTGACAAACTTTCCTCCAAAACTTCTTGCTGTGAGACACAATGCAACTTCATAAGCTCTTGGGTGGTCAACTCATGGCTGTGCTCTTCCACAAGCTCTTCAATATCACTGTTATCCCTCTACAATCCTATGATAGTAGCCAAAGACACAATCTCGTTGACTACAGGTTCCACAGGTACTGTTTCAAGCCCCTCAAAATCACAAATCGACAACCCTCTCCGGCCAAAGCTTTTTCCCAAGCAGAAGTTAGGGTTCTCTTGGTAACCCCTTCCCCTGCCTTGTCGATCATCTTGAGGCAGGCAACGATGTGGAATTGATTTTTCCAAAACTCTTTGAGAGTGAGGTTGGTCCCTTCAGTCACCTGAAAACAATGCTTGAAGAGTGCTTTAGTCTAGAGCTTCTTAAAGTTAGAAATAACTTGTTGGTCCATGGGCTGGAGCAACGGAGTGGTGTTGGGAGACAGAAACTGGATCTTGATGAACTTAAATTCTTCAGGGAGGTCATCTTGTAGGCCTGGAGGATTCATGTACATATATCACAATCTAACACAAGTTTGAGAAAATGTGTGATCACAAGCGACACTACGATGCTACTGGAACGAGTGCTAAACACAGACTGATGTAACACGCGCACAATGCGGGACTTCTCTCCTCGCCACTCGTTATGCGAAACTTCGCTCATTAAGCAAGTCATTTTTTTTACAATTTCTTTTGCTCATTATGCGAATTACTCGTTATGAGAAGTGCTCATTAAGCAAGGTTTTACTGTACAAGCAGTAATGACAGTATGTTAGTCTCTAAGTCTGTGAATTTCTTCTTGTCAGCAATTTTTTTCTTTTTTTTAGAACAGAACACAGACGTTGAAAATGGACTTGCATGTACAGAAATCTCAAGTATTCTTTGTCGCTGTGAGTATAACATACAACCTTCGCAGTCAAGGTGACCATAAGACTGAGCTGATGATGTACGACCGTATAACCCCGTATGGTATATTCTCTGTATGTGCCGACAACATAGACCTGTCCTTGTGTATATGTGACACCTCCAGGTCCTCGACGAATTCTTTAAAAATTCCAGAAAAAGACGACTTAGAAAATCTGGATCTTTTGCCAGAGTTTGATGTGCTAGTTCAGGATGTTAGCAGCCTTGATCGTTGTTTATTTTTGGTAACAGTTAAGCACGAGCGGGGTGCGGTCGTGTTTTTAGCAAATGTTTGCCAGAAAAGGAGTTTTATTGTCACTGCTGCACTGGAAGCAGATGATCATCTGGTCTACTCTGTGCCGCCCTTGCTCCCTGTGGTTCTGCCTGGAGGAATGGTGGTGCTGGGTTTGTTGTTTGCTGAGACTGGAGACACCTGGACTGGTTCTGTGAAGGTTTCCAGCCAAGTTGTCAGTGATGTGAGTTACTTAGGTAGTGGATGGTGGCGTAAGAGTTAGTGAGCCTGCCTGGTATGACGGTAAGTAGAACAACAAAGTAAAGAACCTGATCTACACCTTATATCTGCAGCAGGATTACCTTATGGTTGTATCTGCAGAAGGATTACCTTTATGGTTATATCTGCAGAAGGATTACCTTTATGGTTATATCTGCAGCAGGATTACCTTCACTGCTATCTGCAGAAGGATTATGGTTGTTTACGAGGTTATATCTGCAGCAGGATTACCTTATGGTTGTATCTGCAGCAGGATTACCTTTATGGTTATATCTGCAGCAGGATTACCTTCACTGCTGTATCTACAGAAGGATTACCTTTATGGTTAAATCTGCAGAAGGATTACCTTTATGGTTATTTCTGCAGAAGGATTGCCTTCATGGTTATATCTGCAGCAGGATTGCCTTCACAGCTGTATCTGCAGAAGGATTACCTTCATGGTTGTATTGACAGCGAGATTACATTTACAGCTGTATTTTCAGCAAATTGCTTTTACGGTCGTATTTGCGGCAGGATTACCTTTACGTTTGTATCCACAGTGTGATTTACCTTCATAACATGCAAACAGTGGGATTTACATGTGTAGTATGTACAGTGGGATTTATTTATTTTTGCAGAGGGATTTACCTTTACCGTTGTATCTACTATGGGATTTACGGTTACTATTGTCGAGATTAGCTCTGCGTTGTATCTACGGTGAGAACATCTTTACAGTACAGACAGTGGGATTACCTTTACATTTATACATACAGTGGGATCATCTTCACTCGGACATGTAATGGGATTATTGTTACATATGGGTGTACACAAGAATTACTTTTGCTTCTAACTGCAATGTTTGCAATGGAATTACCTTGATGGCAACATCATTCAGACAGATATCACTATCTTTAAATTATATCCCCAGTGGGATTATTTTAGTAAAAAAAATTTTTTTAAATGTGTTTTTCATCTCTAAAGGGAAGGTTGGCCTCAGTGTATTCACTGCTAATTATAAGAATACATGGTGATGTCCCCAGTCTCTTCCACAGTATGACTCTCATAGCACTGGTTGAAAGCCATGAGAAGGTCTTTTTCTAAATAGCAAACCACAGGAATCAAACTCTGAGAAATGCCAACAATTGCTTTGTGAAACCATTTTAAAAACTTCCAAGCCAGAAAGCCACACATGGTTGTTAACAACGAATTGTATAGTTTGTAGCTTATGTGTAGCACTACCTCACTCTTGATATTAAAACAATGGTAACAAGATGGCAGCATGTATCTGTTTCTGTCCTTGACTCCTTCACTTTACCAAACAGTTTGGGTAGGGGAGGGGAGGAGGGCATACAAGCCTTTTACTAGGACAAGGAAATATAACCTGAAAACTTAATATTATGGCAGGGCAGGGGAGCCACCATGGTGTTGTGGCTAGATGCTCGCCTGCGGATCGGAAGATCTTGGTTCAGGTCCTGATGAAGCTGAAACTTTTTTTTAAAAAATGACTTTGGCTCCCAGGATGACCCAGCCTAGGGTGGATACCAGGTAAAGTCCTGGAGAGTAAAGGCGGCTGGTGTTATGCTAACTACATCACCCACCGAGTGCCGGTTGGTCTATAAAATATTGGTCTGGCCCTATATGCCAAATACACCCCATGGAATGAAAAAGGGTATTTTTTTGTTTTTTGGCAGGGCAGACTAGGCACTTAACCTTGGTTAACAGCTGATCTTGGAGGAAATCTCTGACAGGCAGGCAGGCAGACAGAGCATTACACTTCTGATCCGGCAGCATCTGCAGCATGCAGTGTTCCAAACGTGTTGATGTTATCTTTCTTTTGGAATAAACAAATCAGGCAGAGAGAGGAGTCATGCTGTGTGGTCATCACATGGTCTGTACAAGCCTGCCCAAACTGGGGTGTGGAGAGGAGGAACTTCATCCCTGGCCTTAATTGAAATCGTTATGGGCTGTGATTCCTACACTTCTCTATTGCACAATGGACAACCATTGGCTGGAAAGGTATCAACCGCCAAACAGTTGTTACTTCAGCTCTTTTAATCCAAACCAGTTGTGATGTTAGCTTATTCTACTCACATCATTTGTTACTGTAACTCATTTTACCTACATCACTTTTTACATTAACTTATTCTGTTAGTATCAGTTGTGATGCTAACTCATTTTGCCCACATCAGTTGTGATATTATCTCGTTCTACCCATACCATTTGTTATGTTAACTCCGATTATCCATATAACCTTTTACTGTAACTCATTCTACCCACATCATTTGTTACTGCAACTCATTTTACCTACATCAGTGGTTGATGTTACTCATTCCACCCATATCATTTGTTAGTGTAACTTATTCTGTCCATACCATTTGTCATATTAACTCATTCCACCCACATCATTTGTTACTTTACCTCATTCTGCCCAGATCAGTTGTGATGTTAACTACTTTCTAACCATACCATTTGTTACTGTAACTAATTCTACCCACATCACTTCTGACTTTAACTCATTCTACCCATTCTCCGTTATTAATATAACTCATTCTATCCACATCACTTGTGATGTTAACTACATTCCACCCATATCACTGCAGTCTCCGAGGAGGAAAACTCAAAGAATCCCTTTAACTTGCCTCATTAACTGCATTTGGGAAGTGTCATGTGCTGATATGGGGTGACAGCACACTAACATACAGTCGAGTCCACTTAAGTGGAACTCAGATAAGTCGAATTTTGGTTAAGTCGATATGACCAGCTTAGTCCTGGCAATTTTCTCTATTGTGTGTGCTGTCTGGATAAGTAGAAATCCTGTTAAGTGGAAGCATTTTCTTAGGTCCCTGGGACTTCTACTTATCCAGACTCGACTGTATAACCAAGTGTCTATCTAGGATATGACTTGTGCTCGAACTCCGTATCCACTCACACCAAACTGCTGTACACAACGTACGAGCAAACTGTCAGGCAAACTCAACAACAGTTGTCTGTCATACATTTATTCAAAAGAACATTGGGGTCTACCAACCCACACACAATAAATGATATGAAGCAAAATGAGCCTGTCCTTACATTCGCTATCATGGAATTAACTTCATTAGATTTCATACTCCCCAAAACGGTCCTAGCAGCATTCCATTTTACAGTCTGCTGTTAGTCAGACTCTTGAGCTTACCACTTCAGTGCCTCGGTCGCTGGCTTACTCTCACGTCAGGGCTAGCTGTAAGAATGAACAGGCTTCATCTAACTTACACAGCTGATCTCCATTGATATACTCGTAACAGGCACTTTTAGCTATTCAGACTGAGAACCTACAATCCTAAGGCCCCTAATATGCACACAGCAAATCACGTTGATAGATTCTACACTGACCGGCAGGACGAATATTAAATAAGACGAATAATAAATAGCACGAAAATCAGAAAGGACAAATATTAAAAAGAACAAATATTTAAAAAAGACGAATATAAAAAAGGACGATTATCAGAAAGGACGAAAATTAAATAGGAGGAATATTAGCAAAGACGAATATTAAAAAATACAAATAATAAATAGGACGAGCATTAAAACAGACATATTGAAAACGGCGAATATTAGATATGACAAATATTAAATAGGACAAATATTAAAAAAGGGCAAATATTAAGTAGGACGAAGTCCCCCTCAGCACACCTCCAATGCTGTTATTTACGAGATTCCTCTTCTAAAGTTGCCTTGTTTCTGTAGTGCCTATAAATGTCACCCAAGGACAGTTATCTCACAGAAGAACAAACAGCTCTGCTCTGCTCGACGACTCTGTCCTAAACACCGGACTGCTCTGTCCGCAACTCTGGACTGCTCTATCCTCACCTCAGGACTGTATGTTTATATACATGTGTGCATTCTCTGTGAGTCCCCCGTGATAATTGAGGCTTCCATACTTATGCACGTTTCCCCCTCACACCAGCCTTGCTCGGCACGAACTAGGCATGACTCTTCACCCAGACCGGTTGACACCTGGTGAGTCCACTGGTCAACTCCGGTCCTACGTCAATACCTACTCAAAATATTCACTCAAGCTGCGCTGACACCATCGGCCGTAAATCAACACCGACTCACAAAATTGACTCACAACATTAACTTAGGCTGTGTCAGCACCCTGGTCAACCAGGCCTGTACTCAATTAACATAAACAAAGCTGATGCCCCTGAATCGACACACACCTGGAGGACACTTGCAGTCAGCTTAGAGGTTAGTTGCATATCCTTTACAGGACGTCGCAGAACATTTTTCTAGGCAATTAACGTCCAGTAGTTTGTCATTGCTTCCTGGACGGTGGGTTTTCTTGATACCACAGTCGAAACCAACGCAAAGCCCATGGGCCGCAACTGGGATCGAACCCGGAATTATAAAGCGTTCGCATCGACTTAGCCACAGAGCCGACGCAGTCACCTTAGCTTTTGATATTTATGTTGCTAAGTGTGTTTTACTATGTCTGATTCATTCGCCTGTTGTTGTTGACTCCTTTCTATCTTTCCAAACAATAACGTTTCTTGGTGCTAAAGGAGTCAGTCACAACCCGTGGCGATGGCGAGTGGGACTAGCAAGTCCAGCTTCAGTAAAGAAGAATCTTCCACAGAGGTTTGAGGTTTTGAACAACGGATCAACATCATGGAACACAGGTGCTCCTTTCTTCTTCTACCTCAAATCTGAGTCCGAAGAAGGTCAGCACAGTGCACAGGCTCCGTACCACTAGCGAGGATCCTGAAATACTTTGGGTAGATTTTTAACTCCAAATTTTTTCCGGGCAGCGCCGTTATGCTACTATTTTCGATATTTTTGAATTTACTAGAAGTCCAAGTCCACGTGAAAAAATGTCAGCCCTTAAAGGGGGTTGAACCGGGAACCTCTAGTACTCGAGGCGGACACCATGCCTCAAGACCACACAGCCCCCCCCCCCCTTTTCCCCTGAATATTCCACAATAATTGCAAGTGATTTCTAGGCCAGTGTTGCTCTTACAATAACATGTTTTTTAGCGAAAGCAA